TATTTGAATTTTTGGGCTGTTTTTATTGTAGTTTATTTCTAATGTTATGCCATTGTGATCTAAGAAAATGCTTGATAAGATTTCAATCTTTTTTAATTTGGGGGTACTTTGCTTGTGTCCCAATATGTGTTCTATTTTTTAAAATGTCCCATGTGCACTTGAGATGAATGTATATTCTGTGGCTTTCTGGTGAAATGTTCTGAAGATGTCAATTAAGTCCATCTGTAAATCATGTTTCTTGTTAGCAGAATTTTACCACACTTTGATTTTTTTTTTTTTAAACAACCTGAGCACATGAACTTCAATTTGTGAAAGGTTTCAAAGGCTGAGGTGTACCCATTTTCAAAAAGATTATAAATAGCTAGGGATATGGGGAAGGAGAGAAGAGGGAAGAGCATCTAAGAGGACCCATCCTTCTTTGCCTTACTCTAAAGAATTGTCCAAGAAATTGAAATTTGAGCCCAGGCATCATGACTTGGTGGTTGAACATTGATTGACCTATGAACCATGAGGTCATGGTTCAATTCTTGGTCAGTGAACAAGCCCAGGTTGCGGACTCGATCTTCAGTGTGGGTGTGCAGGAGGCAGCTGATCAATGATTCCCTCTCATCATTGATATTTCTATCTCTTTCTCCCTCTCTTTTCCTCTCCGAAATCAATAAAAATATATATTTTAAAAATTTGAAGCATTGAAGACATTTGACAAACAAAATGCCGTCATTAGGAACCACCAACTGGGTCCATCCTCCTCAAACACATAGTAGGCTCTATAGTTAATGACAGTATGAGCAGTTCCTAAGTACCTATTTGTCTAATGCTAAAGAACCCTATCACTGATCATTAATGGGTAGATGAGATTCCCTAACCTCTATGGACTCACAGTTTTTAATCGTTTGTTTATGAAACAGCTGAGATTTGTATTCAGCAGCAGCCATTTCAACATTTTTTAATAGCTGCTAAGTGAAATGTTGTGCTTAAGGTTATTTCAGTTAAGTAGCCTTTTTTTAGTGCTTAGTCTCTAATAGAGAAAGTTAAGGAAGAAATCTCTAATAGGCAAGAACAGAACTGCTACTACATTTATCTAAAATTATGAATGTATATTGGGCCAAGTTTGCCTATATTTATACCATTTTGAAGTAGATATATTTAGGCCATAAAACTGTGTCTTAAGAAACAAAATGCTGCTTTCCTTACTATTTCTAATATACTTTTTATATTTTAGAAAAATGAATTCCTTTCTATATTAGAATAGAAACATAGCAATTTGAATATAGCAAGTATTTCTTGAGAACTTGAGCACTGAGCCAAGCACTGTGAAGAATAGAGAAAAACAAAGTACAGGCCTTGCTTTAAAAAGCTAATAGGACCTCTAGCCGGTTTTGCCAGTGGATAGAGCATCGGTCCATGGACTAAAGAGTACCAAGTTCAATTCCCATCAAGGGCACATACCTCAGTTGCATGCTCAATCCCTGGCCCCAGTTGGGGCCCGTGCAGGAGGCAACCAGTTGAGATGTCTCTCTCACATTGATGTTTCTCTCCCTTCTTTCTATCCACTCTCTCTAAAAATCAATAGAAAAATACCCTCGGGTGAGGATTAACAACAAAAAAAGCTAATATAAAAATGCCATTATTTATAAGAAATAAAAAGAAATTAATTAACTATTGAATTGTATAGTACACATAAATGACTTTGAATGTTCAGAAAAAGGGGAAATCCATAAAAACTTGAGCATTCAAGGCATTAACACTTGACTTGAGCTTTGAAATCTGAATAGGATTTAAACTAGGGAGAAGAAGCAAGAAGAACCATATGAGCAAAGACAAGAGCCAACATAGCAGTGGCACTGGAAATGGAGGAATCATTATGAGAATGATTTCAAAGGAACAATAACAGGACTTGAAGCCACCTGAATAAAAGTAACATGCAAATAAACAAAGTAGAAGGAATGTGTAAAACCTATACCAAAGTCTAGGTTAAAGAGAGTCAATGTGCCATTGATAGAGATAAGGAATTTGAAAAGGGCAGCTAGTTTCCAATAAAAGATAACATTTAATTTTAGACTTGTGGTATTATTATTTTGCAGAAAGATATCCAAATGGAAACTTTCAGTGTTCAATTAGAGATGAGGGACTGGAGCATGTTGGAAAATATAAAACTAGCAATATAGATTTGATGGTTATCAGCATAGAAGTAATTGTCAAAGCTATTAAATACAGATAAATTGGTATACTTTCCTCAGATGATTAAAAGCTAAATTTTGGTGAAAAGCAGGAGTGGTAGAAGAAAGTGAAAGAATGGAAGAGTGTTAGGAAGGGTGTGTTCAACAATGTCACAAGTTGCAAAGTCAAAGGAGAAAATTCTGAGAAAAGGACACTAAATTTGGCAATAAAGAAGACAAGATGAATTTGGAAACTGAAAAGGAAAGTTCATTTGTCTTGTGATAAATGAAAAGGGAGAGAATAACAAAACTAAGAATTTTTTAAATAATAGAAATGATCCACACATTTTGGGGGTTACATATTTCTATATCCTCTACATACTTATCTAGTAAAAGAATGGCAGCTAGAAAAAATTAAAATGGCAGCCATCTAATTGAGGTAGGAACATGTTATTGACATTGCCTCTAAAAGGTATTTAGATCAATAATAAAGATTTTTTAAACAATAAGGCAGTTAGACAAGATATGGAAATAGAGAGCTCTACTTTAAAATGTATCATGTCTACTTTTTAAAATGAAACCTATAAATATTCCACAATATGAATTTACTCTTTGTGGAATAAAAAGTTAAATTATATTTTTACTAGTGATAAAGTCAATATTTATTTATTTTATTTTTTATTTTTTCAATTTATTTATTGATTAAGGTATTACATATGTGTCCTTGTTCTCTCATTACCCCCCATCTCCCATTCATTCCCCCACCCCTCTGTTGTCTGTGTTCATTGATTAGGCTTCTATACATGTGTATAAGTCCTTTGGTTGCTCTCTTCCCCTTTTCCCCCACCATCCTTTACCTTCCCTGAGGTTTGACGTTCTGGTTGATGGTTCTCTGTCTCTGGATCTATTTTTGTTCATCAGTTTATGTTGTTCATTATATTCCATAAATGAGTGAGATCATGTGATAGTTATCTTTCTCTGCTTGGCTTTTTCACTTAGTATAATGATTTCTGAGTTAGTAGATAATTGCAAATATATATTTAATATTATAATGTCAGTTTCTCAAACATCATCTGAAAGTTGCCATAAAAACTCATGTACAGAGAGTACTATCTTGTTTTTAAGTTTGGCTATGGTCCAATATCTATGTATAGATTTTGAGAATATTATGTTCTCATTATATTTTGTACTGACACCTGGAAAAGTAATGAAGTATTTTTAAAATAAATTTAAATTCTGTTTTCACTTGCTAATTAATTTTCTCAACTGCTTTAAAATACAGAATTTGTTGTTATAAAATACATTTTAAACATACAGGTATAACATATTTATGCACAGAAATGTGCCTTGCTACTATATGTTAAGTAGAGTCCTTATGTTTAAGACTGGCTTGTGGTCTTGAAAATAAGCTATTACCATAATAACATGAGGAGAATATAATATTCTCACATAGAGTTTTAATAGGACATTGGATTCTTAACATCTTTAAAGTGACCCTAAGACCAAAGTGCCATAAATCAGTTAAATAAAAAAGTATAGTAGGTTATTATTAAAAAAAAAAAAAAACTTTTATTAAACATCTATGAAATAACATTATGCTACTAAACATAATGAAAGATAGCAATATAAACAAACAGTAGTTTCTCTTTTCCAAGAGCCAAAAAATATAAAGATTGGCATTTGAATTTTGGCTCACCCCTTAGTATTTATATAACATTTAATTAATTACTTTTTGGAAAAAAAGATTTCTGAGTGTCAGCTTTCTTATCCGTAAAGTCTTGAAGAGTTGTAAAGTCTGGAAATAGTGTTTATTTACCTAGCACAGTATCTAGCTCATGGTACGTCCATAGTTACCGATAACTTTCTATTATTGCCTACTTCATAAAGGGTTCTCTATAAATGTTAGTATTGCTTCCTTTTTGCTTACAACCCATCAATCATTAACAAAAAATTGTGGCCACTATGATATATCACTAACATGCAGGAAGTGATCTTTGTTATGACTTCTGAAATCAACAAGTATGTAAACCAAGGTTTATAAAATTCATTTTGACTTCCTAATACAGATTTCAGTGAGCTACTTGAAGACAGTCAAGAGCTTTCAGGGCTGGGATCTGTTTTCTTAAAAAGGGTTAAACATATACATAAAAGCCATTCATAAGGATCAACCTTTGAGTTTCTGAATAGTAACTGATTATAAGTTGTCAAAGTCTATGGTTCCAAAGGTTTTCTTAGTGTTTATTAGGAAAATTTTCATATATACACAAAAGTAAAAAGGATAGTAAAAGCCACTCTCCCATACATCCATCAGCCAATCCCAATAACTATCAACTAAAATGGTTTTTTGTGTGTGTTTTTTTAAAATATATTTTTATTGATTTCAGAGATGATGGGAGAGGGAAAGACAGAAGCATCAATGATAAGAGAGAATCAACAATCTGCTGCCTCCTGCAACCCCCCCCCCCTACTGGGGATTGGGCATGCAACCCAGGCATGTGCCCTGTCCGGGAATCAAACTGTGACCTCCCAGTTCATAGGTCGATGCTCAACCACTTAGCCACACCAGCTGGGCTAAAATGGGTTTTAACAGAACCATTCCAGTAAAAAATTATATTTTCAGCTCTTTCTCAGTGTTTCTCTAAATCATTATTTTTAATTCCATATCATGGATCTAGTTAATTTTTTATTAATAGTCAAATATTTATTTTCTATAAATATAAAATTATTTTTAAGACATGTTTTAAAATCACAACATCAAAAGAAAAATGCATGGCTTTTTTTTAATGTGAGAGAGTTAAATATGCTGGGTAGAATATATTTTGTTCTGTCTTTGTTTTTAAGGTTTGGCTTGAGCAACAAGTTTGATACTGAATTCCCCTCAGTTCTAACAGGGAAGGTAAGTGAGAGCTTGCTTTTAACATTTCGATTCTAAAAACATTGTTTTATGATGTATTTAGTGTTCTGAAAAAGTTTGACTCAATTGTAATGAAATCTATTATTAAGAGGCCAGGGTACTTGTAGGCTGTGTCATTAGTGATTGAAGGCTATGGCTAGGACCAGTTATTTTGTTCATTGTCGGTTAATGCCAACCATCATTTACTTATTTGTTCAGTTTTTTTCAGTTTTGCTGTTTTTCTCAGCCCTGGTAGCTATAACTGTTTTCGTTTAGATCAGTAATTTCCCATGTGTTTTTTTGTTTGTTTGTTTGTTTTTGTTGTGGGTGGCAGGGATGATACTGGGTGTTAGTCTGGTGGGGTCAGAACTGACCTGGGTTCAACAACCTTGGTACTTGAGTTCTGGCTAGGAAGGAATTCAGAGCCAAGATTCAAACTGTCAGTGAACATTTATTTGGTAAATCGTGGAGGTAGAAAAAGTAATTCCTAGAATTACTGGGCGTAAGGAACAAGTTATAGAGGTAAAACAAAGGCCCTTGGATCTTGGGAATAAGGAAGGAAATGACAACATGTGTGGTAGGGAAGCAGAGGAGAAGGGAGGGAGAAGGTAAAGGGAAAAGTGCTGGTGTACTTTTGGGAGGGAGGGAAGGAAGAAAGAAGAGCATGCTGGGTCCTCCATCCTAAGGATTTTAAGGGTGAAGATTTGGAGGGAGGTTCTAAGGGAAGATCTTAATAGAATATTCAGCATCTTTCCAGGTGTGTCCTTTCATGGTCTAAGTCTCCACTAATTGATTGGTCGATGCCAGGGCAGGGGGTCATTATCCAATGCAGCTTGTCCTGAGGTCAGCCATGGGGTCACTGATCTGGTTTTGTTGCTTTTCTGGGCCTGGAGCTGAAATACAACTGGGGTCTAAATGTTATCTCTAGGGAGGAAAGGTCAGGGAGTCCAAACCACTTGACCAGTGATATGCTAGGGAAGGAAAAATCATCCTGGGGGCGAGGTCCCACACCACAGTTGTCGTTTACTAGGCATCTGGGGCTTTCTACCCTGATGACTTGTACCTAGCCCATCGTCCTTGCTCTGCACATGTCTATCTAATTGCCTACCACACTTTCAGGCACTTCTTTTTATTTACAGGGTTGTTTTTTTTCAATGCAAATTAATTCTATAACATGAGAAGTTACTATGAATCAAAGCATAAATACACAAACAATATATAATCGAAATTAGATGTACAGCATTTAGATATAAAATAAAGGGGGATGTTTATTCACATATGGCAGCTTGAGATCTTTGTGTATGGTGTTCCTAAGTAGGTTTCCATAGATGGGAAAAAATTACTATGTTATCAACACTAGTGTGGCTATATTAAATACTGGAACATCTAAGTATCAGTGTGTGACCATGCAAAATAAGACTTTAGAGAATGTTTATTTTCAAAAGAGTTTCTGTGCATTGAGTTAATTGTGAAAATACTTACTTTCCAGAATCAAGCTTACATTAGGCTTAAGATCATGTTCTAATTATATAAAAATATTGACCAATAAAAGAAAGTGTTCCAAATGTGGCTATTCTGATTCATAGTTTTGTGTGTTTTTTTAAGTATGTACAGAAGAATATAAATGTGTGTTTTTTTTTAATTTAATTTAACTAAGCTTCCAGTCTTTTTTTTTTTTAATTGACTTTATTGGGGTGACATTGGTTAATAAAATTATATAGGTTTCAGGGGTATCATTCTATAATAAATCACCTGTATATTATATTGTGTGGTCACCAGCCCAAGTCTCCTTCTATTACCATTTATCCCCCTTTACCCTCTTCTACCTTCTCTTCCCCCCCCCTTCCCCTCTGGTAATCACCATACTGTTATCTGAGTATATGGGGAGTTTTTTCCTTTCCTTAATCCCTTCACTTTTTTCACCCATCCAACTATGATTTCATTTATATATGAAATCTGGTGAACAAAATAAACTAACAAACAAAATAGAAACATATTCATAGCTACAGAGAACAGACTAACAGCTGTCAGAGGGGAAGAGGGTTGGCAATTGAGTGAAAAAACTTCCAATCTTCACCTCCCAAATATCTTACTTATAGTTTGATTCCTTCACATATTTGCTTTTCTAATCTTCAAAACAAATCATCTCTTAAATTGTAAAAGGTATTAAATACATGCAGAAATAAAAAGAATTTTGAAATTGATTGAGGTTCATGTACTTTAACTCTTTGGAATTAGTTTAGCAAAATGAATCTGATACTCTTGTTGAATAGGGGAGTGATAACTATGTAAGCAAAATTTACTCATTATAGTTGGATTTGGAGTAGATTCCAATATATCATTGATGGATTCTGGAATGAGGTAGGAAAGGAGGGGGGGAAACTATAAATATTGGTACATATCAATTACTACATAAAAAGTCAAATGCAATGTCAAATCAAAGTTCCCAAGAGAATATTAAGTCATAAGTTAACAATATAAAACTTTATCTATGGTTACATGGACATTAAATTAGTACTGTGAAACAATACATTGAGGATTTACAGGAACACCTGGAAGTTCCTTCTAATGAACATATAAATAGAACCATGGAAGCTTTTTGCATTATCCATTTTATGGCCTTATAGCTTTAAATGAACCAATTGAAAACTGACTGTGTTACAAATCTCATCCCTTATCTCTAGATAAAATAAAATCTATACACTTTCTAAATAGAATTTTATGTGTCGGTACTTAAGCCACCTTTAAGGAAATCATCTCTGAACTAATTTTGGATGTGTTTTTTCATCTTGTCCATGAAACTGTTACAGATTTAAAATCAACATTCATCATCTAGTCAGACCCTACACATGTTCTTTAAACCAAATATGGGATCCTCAACATTTTCTATGTAAATAAAATTAGGAGTGAAATTAGCAGATTCAATGAAGACCTGTTTTTTCCCCTGTCCCACTATATGTCTAGATGCTATTTGGATTGGGTTTGGAAGATGGAGAAGTATACATTTCTTGGCCTGAGTCTTTTAACAGTAGAGGTGTAGAGATAGAACTAGATTGCTAAGAGGCTGGCTATTGACTGCGAAAAACTACCACTTGCCTTAGTGGTGGTACTCAATGGATTTGGAGTAATCAAGGTTTTGTGGAAGGGATTACTGGAAGGTGATAAAGCATTTTTTTTTATTTGAATAAATCTGTGCGGGTAGGAGAAACACCAGAAGCAGGAGCCCCAGTTGGAGCCTGGCTACATCACTTTGCCCACATCCTCTCTATCAGTGTGTGGCTGCATCTCACTTTGGATATGGAGTGGGTAGGGAACCCATGGCTCCAGGCAGGAGAAGGCAAGGTCAAATTTCCAATGTTTTGGGGTGAACAAAGTTACCAGTTTTCAACATTGTGGTACTCTTTTTTAAATTATCTTGTGATCTGATTTTGTTATATATCAAAAGCATCCAAATTTTTTGTTATTTTTGTACTATTTAGATAGTTTGAATTTCTAAAATTGGATTCTGCAATAACTTATATTTCTGTTCCCTGGTTCCTCTATATTCAGTAGTTTCTCCCAATGGAGATACATTAATCAGAGATTTCCTTACAGCAGTAATGCTAACTTCTCAGCCCAAAGAGTAAGTCTCTAAGGCAAAATGTTATCTACATATTTTTGTTACTTAAGAAATGTAAATGAAGAAAGAGGAAAGCTGTTATATTACAAAACACTTAATAATTTCCAAATGGTTAATATCTGAGTGATTGGGAGCCAAAATGTTGATTTAGGATTAAAAAGAAGTTAACTTTTAACTTTTTGTACTTAGAAACATGTAATTTAATATCATTCTGTTTAACTTACTATTAGAATAATGCTATTTCTCAGTATAGATTTTGGTAATACTTTAAAATCATTTCATTCTCAAAAGTGTTTTAATATGCTATTTTAGTGTTAATTTTTTTCATATTGTAATTGAGAAAAGCAAGGTTCAAATTACTGTGTATAGTGTGTATAATAAAGGGGAGAAATAAGCATATTAATAATTATAAGAAGTAATTCTAGGAAGATATACATGCAACTAATACAAATGGTAACTTTTATGGGAAAATAAGAATGAAATAAATGCCGAAACCGGTTTTGCTCAGTGGATAGAGCGTCGGCCTGCGGACTGAAAGGTCCCTGGTTCTATTCCGGTCAAGGGCATGTACCTTGGTTGCGGGCACATCCCCAGTAGGGGGTGTGCAAGAGGCAGCTGATCGATGATTCTCTCTTATTGATGTTTCTAACTCTCTACCCTCTCTCTTCCTCTCTGTGAAAAATCAATAAAATATATTTTTTTAAAAAGAAATGATTATTTAAAAAAAAAATGAATGAAATGAATGGAAGCAAGGGTAAAGATGAGACTATTTTCTAAATATCATTTATTATTGAAAAATAAATAATATCAATTAAAAGTGGAAGCAGATTAAGTGCAAGCTCACAGACATGCTCTCAGGACCAATTTGTGATCACATCTAAAACAAACAAACAAACAAAACAAAAAGCCCACCCTGAATAATCAACTGAAGAATAGCTGGAGATAACCCTGATAACCAAGGACAGAAAGTGGAGACCACATAGAGACTGGTAGGAAGGGTGGAGGCGTGAAAGGGCTGGCCAGGCTTCCACAGACAGTAACTGAAATTCTGGAGAGATATCTCAGCTATGGGGGTTGCCACTGAGAACTCTGGGGTCTAATCCCCAAGCTGCCCGCTACCCTCAGCAGAGAGCACCAGAACTGAAAAAGGTGTCTACATAAAATCTGGCTGTGAAAACCAGCAGGGTTGCTGTTTGCCAGGGAGAGTTAGCTGGAAGTGCAGGCACCCTCTTAAAGGGTTAATGCACAACACTCACCTTGGGCTCTGGCAGAGGGAGGGCAAAGTGACCTAGAATTGTATAAACATAAGCCAGGGCTGGGAGATCTGGGTTTAGAGCTTGAAAGGCAGACACCCCAGTTTCCTGTGCTGAGTCATTCCCTCAGG